AGAGAGAGAGAGATCACGCGTTGGAGCGACCCCCCCGGATCCCACGTAAAAAACTTCTGCAGTACAAAAGCCCCCCCCCCCCACACACACACACACAAATCTAAGGCTGGTGCTTGCAGCCTTGTGTGTGGGGCTGTGGGGTCAGGGCTCTGCAAGTGCTGAGTTTGGCAGGGGGGGTCTGCCATGTGACACTTCAAAACTAGTGCCAACAACACTTTACCTCCCCTCCTGCCCAGGTCTAGGGAAAAGGTGGGGAGCATTGCCCTGCTGTTCCCCTCTATTCCCAGACTGGTACAGGAAGGGAGGGGTGCAGCATTTTAGAGCCCCCATGCTGAGATGGTCTGCACTGCTTCCCTTTTTTTCCACTCCCAGACCGGGAGAGGAGTATACACAAACATTCTTGCAAGAGAAACTCTGTCACAAGGAAGATCTTCGAGGTTGTACCCTGGAAGATCTTTGAGAATAGGCAAGTTTCGTTCAGGAGAAATTGAATGAACACTTTTGTACACTTTCATTTCTGTTGGGAAAACTGTGATTCTCCTGGTAGAAATGTAATGCCTGCATGTGGCCTATATGTGTAATTTACATTCTTTTGCTACCCAAGTGAACACTTGCTGAAAAAATGTAAATAATAGTGCTGCTTCTGGCAGATCTGCCCTCTTGCTCATGGCTGATACTCGGATTCCTCTCCATGGAGCAAGTCAAGAATTCCCATGAAGGCAGTATAAGTAGGGACTTACCAAATTTGCAATTTTCACAGAAATCATGAATTTGGTAGGTCCCCTGTGAAAAATGTTGGTCCCTGCAAAAAAGTGTGGGGGCTGCAAAAAAGCTGGAAGATGACCAGCAAGCTGGGTGTGGGGGAGGGAGGGAGCTGCAAAAAGGTGGGAAGCCCTGGCTTCATGACAGTATGGAGGAGAAGGGGTGCCCTACACCTCTGATTTTCACAGCAGACCACAGGGGAGAGGGGGTGCCCTACACCTCTGATTTGGCCAAGGTGCCCTGGAAGTCCCACCCCTCCCCAAAGATTGACAGATGGCCATCTGTCAATCTCTGGGGAGAGCCAGGACTACTTCCCCCACCCTTGGCCAGTCAGAGGTGTGGGGGGCCCTGGTGTGCTTCGCTGTGAAAATAGTGACTGATGCCATGCTCAGACCATCTAATTGCATTGTAGCCCTCACAAATTAGGTAGGTTCCTATGTGTGAGTGAGTCAATTGACTGGGGACACGAATGAGAGGATAAAACATTAAATTCTAGTTGTTTTGAGCTGCCTTTTGGGGTTTCTTCACTAATTACAGGTATGTAGTAGAGTTCTTGACTCTGGCAGTGTCCTTTATTGAGAAACTAGAAAGCCATCTGCAGACGGTAAGGAGCATCCCTCAAATACCCCAGACCATGAAAAACCTGGTGAGTAGCAAAAAGACCTATATTTAACTATCTCCTGTAATACTGTCCTTCTTAAAATGCAGTGCTGATTACTTAGACCACCTTCTTTATCTCTCGATAGTATACTAAGGTATCTAGTTTGAGGGAGTTTATTTCTTCATCTCCTACCTTGTCTTCCAGGATAATGCTCTGGCAAAAATAGATTTGCTGGTAACAGAAGTGGAAGAGTTGGCAGAACAGGTACTGAAGTGGAGAGAGCTGCAAAAAGGAATCCACTGTGACAGCTTCCAGAACTCTAAATCAGACCATAGCTTCAGCAGCCTAAATCCTATTTAATACATCTTCTTTCTCTGACAAATAAGATGCCCAGTTACCAATTTCTGTTCTTATATGTCCAATGTGATAATGTGTGCCTTAGTCTAACAAGAATTTTGCTTGGGTATCTTTCTGTTCTAGAAAGGGGAGTTGAGTTGATAACAAGTATTATTTAAAAATCAAAATTGACCTGTAAATAATAGGTTTTATTGTCTAGGTATAACTCCACTTGTTTATGCTGACATATTAAGCATTCCGACAGAACTGAATTATGGCCTACCCTAGCATGTGTAAGATGTCTTAATATAGCTAATGCACATGCCATGAGGACTAAATCTGTTTCTGTGGATGTTTTGCTATATTTTGTATTACAGGAATTATAATAAATGCATTCGATTATAAATGCTGTTGTTTTCATTACAAAGTAGTTATGGTTATACAAGAACCAATGGGTGTAAACTGTCCGTAAATAAATTAGTCTGGGAATTAGTGGAAGGTTTCTGACCTTTGTAAGAGTAAAATTTTAAAACAACCTCCCAGGAGTTTTATGAAATGGGTTTTATGATGTGGTTGCTAGTAATAGCAGGAGACAAGACTGGATGATCCAGGAGGTTTCTGTCAATTCTATAGTTGATGTTCCTGTGATAGAGCTCTAAGCGTGTGTGTGTGTCAAAAAGCCAATTATAATTTGGACAGCTATTCCTGTGCAATCTTGCCTGAATGTCTGTCTTTTTTTTAAAAAGTACTCTTTCTCTCTGATTTTTTTTTTTTAAATGTAATTGTTTAAAATTGGAGAAAGAAGCCAGAGACAAAGCACAGTAGTAAAGAGTAATTAGTCCTTTTTAAAGTAAGGCGTGGTTAACACAAGATTATAGCCAAGGATTATAAATAAAGAGCAACTATGTGGTAAAGAATGGAATGAAAATTGAGCATCAAAAACAAATGTACTGCCTTTCTTATTGTTTCAAGATTAAGTGGAATGATCTATCATTCAAAGCACCCCAGACAACTTTCTGATTCCAATATGTAAAGAATAAATGTTACATATTTTCGATTCTGCCCATTCCAATGCCTGATCACTCTTAGTCAAAAAGTTTGTCCTAATAATCCAGCCTAAATTTTCTCTGCTGCAGCTTGAGGCTATTGCTCCTAGTCCTGTCCTCTTTAGCCACAGAGAAAAGCCTACCTCTGTCCTCTCCATAATCATTCTTCAGGTATTTGAAGACTCTTATTAAATCCCTGCTTAGTCTTCTAAATAAACCTAATTCAACCTTTCCTTACAAATCTGGTCTCCCAGGCTCCTAATCATTTTTGTTGCCCTGCACTGGACGCTTTCCAAACTGTCCACATCCTTCTTGAAGTGTGAGGCCTCACCTATGCTAAACAGTGAAGAATCACTTTCCTTGATTTGCAAGTGATACTCCTGTTAATACAACCCAAGATGCTATTGGCTTGTTTTGCAACAAGAGCACATTTTTCACTCATTCAGCTATGGTCCACTATAACTCCCAGGTCATTCTCTGCAATACTGTAGCCTACCAAGTTGTTCTCCAGTCTGTATTTGTACATAAAGTTATTCCATCCCAAGTTCAGGACTTTGCACTTGTCCTTGTTAAATCTCAGCTAACTTATTGTGGATCATTTCTCCAGTCTATCCAGGTCCTTCTGGATCCTAGCCTTGCCCTCCAGAGTATCTGCAGTTCCACCCAACTTAGTGTCATCTGCAAATTTGCTAAGTGTGCACTCAGTCCCATCATACAAATTATTAATAAAGATGATGAACAAAATCAGAACCAGAACAAACCCCTTTCACTGAGACTTTGGAAACTGGATGAAACCAATTGTTCTGTGATCTTGGAAAGTGTCATTAGGTGTAATTTTCAAAAGGGTAAACATCCACATTTTTATAGGGAAGATTTCTTATTTCCTTCCTTCACCATTGTGGAATGCTGCTTCCCACCATCCTGCTTTCTTTTCATCTTGGTTTATGGTCTTCACTGGCAAGGGTACTTAGTTATTACAACTTATCTAAGAGACACACAAAATGTGCCCTTTTGCTTTGATTTAATCTTAAAACTGGTTTAGCAGGACATGTTGGGCATCTTTACATGTGGTCCAGAGATGGGGTGGGGAGACGCATTAATTACAGCCGCTCTCAGAGTGACTAATTAAAGCGCCCACAGCATCTCATGCATTTTGCATCCTGTGCTTCAAAATGGCAGGCGGGGTGCTTTAAAGCTCATTCAATGAGTTTTATTTAAAGCACCTCCACCTCTGTTTTGAAGCACGGGGATGCTGAATACAGGAGACACAGAGGCTGCTGGAGTGCGCTAATTAGCACACTTCAGCAGACTCGATTAATTGAATCTTCTTTGACACACTGTAATTACAGTGTGTTGGAGCAGTCTCCCTGCACAACTACAGGTACCTGGTAATTCCTTTCTTAGTTTGCTGCTTGAGCTAGTTGTAATATCTACAGAGGTTTACTCAGTGGATAGTTAAGCAGAAGGCCCCAAGGTTCACTTCATACTCATACTTTCGCAGCTTCCTACACCCCTTGAAAAGGTACGGCTGGCAAAACCAGGAAGTTCTCTATTCTAATGTAAATTGTGTATCTTTGGACAAGTTTCTTAACTTTATGCTC